ATATAATTCTCTTCTTCGAGCCGTTAGAAAACAAGCTGCAAACGCTCTCCCTACCTCCCCACCCCTACATGGTTTTAGTGAGCTGTGTTCACTCTAAATGTTTACAAGCAGAGCCAACGATTTTAAAGGAAGGGGGGGGGGGGGGGTTATGGTCCTTAACGAGCTACTTATAGTGTTTTAAAGAAATATTTTCAGTGTCAGCGTTGGTACTGTCGAATTCACAAATTATGAATTATTGAAAATTAGAAACAACTAAATAGCGGCGTATGTTATGCCGCGGGCCGGCTCGTTGAGTTTAATTCTTCTATTGTTATATTTCCAAGACAAGGGGAAATAATGCAACATTGTATCAACCTGAAGTAGCACACATCATATCGGCGTTCTCAGCAAAATGAAAATGCGCAATCGGAACACTTCACACCGGCAACTGCGCAAATAGAGAAATGCTCAAATGCAAAATAATTATACTAAATCACTTTTTTCATGTTTAGTGGAACTATGTTTTATTATGCTACAATGTACAATGCTGTCATTCTTTGTTAACTCCTATAAATACTCGATTAAAGAAAACAAAAACGCCATTGCGCACTTTTTTGTGCGTAGTTTTCCGTTGCATAGTTTTCCGTTGCATTTACTTAGACTCCTAAAATAAGTTCATCATTTACAAATTCTGATTTACATATTAAAATGTTGTTTATTAGTGATATTTTTGTGCTCTGATATATTTGTTTGATGTAATTAAACACTGAATATCTAAAAAAAAAAAAAAAAAAAAAAAAAAAAAAAAAAAAAAAAAAAAAAAAAATAGTTTTTTGTTGCGCAGTTTTCCGTTGCGCAGTTTTCCGTTGCGCATCTTTCCGATCACTCATCATATCCCACATGACACCCCTTAGCTACGCCACTGTATCCAGAATTCTATGCTGCGCCCTACGCCCTACTCGAGTGTGGTATGACGTGTAGAAATCCAACTGTGACGTCAAACGAGATTTGGGGCGGAGATAAGTGGCCCCGCCCTAGATAAGGCCCAGTGTGTGTGTGTGTGTGTGTGTGTGTGTGTGTGTGTGTGTGTGTGTGTCAGGGTCAGCCGAACAATCCACGATAAAACAAGAGGCTACTTGTGGAGCAGACGACGAGAGCCTCGCTTTCGACTGATCACAGGAAGTGTTATCTCGTCCAATCGCGCCTTTTTTATGACGTAAAAAAATTACCGAAAGACAATGCAAGTAGCAGGCGACAGAGATAAATCAGACGTGAAGTGGGCGTGTATGCAAATCAGTTGGCGCATGCGCCATTGAAGGTATGCAAATACAAGTTAATATAAATTAAGCAATTGGAAAAAAAATATTTCTAGAAAATATAATATTTTCTTATTTATTTTTCTGACATTTTGACGAGGATGTCTGCGTGCAAGACTGATGTTCGCTGTCACGATGACCCCGACCAAATGGCCCTGACTAAAAAGGTCCCGCTTTAAAAAAGCTCAGCTATTCAATCGTGGGCCCTTGCGTCTGCAGGCTTTTTTTTTGTCGGCAGCCCTTTTGTGAGGGTCGTATTGTCAAGGTCAATATTCCTCGTTATATCCGTGTTATGACGTCATGGGTGAACTACCCTGCACTACCTGACAGTCACGTGCAGGCTGTCACACGAGTGTCGGACACGACACGCGAGTGTGTCGGACACGACACGCGAGTGTGTCGGACACGACACGCGAGTGTGTCGCACCGAATGACCTGTCTGTTGTTTGACCAAGTTTTTAAAATATCCTGTCTGTGTGTGTGTGTGTTTGTTAGTGCGAGTGTGTGTGCATGTGGGTGAGTACGTGTGAATGTGTGCACGTGTTTTTTGTTCTACGGCTGACATGAATGTGTAGTTTAGTCACGTGACCAATGTATGCAGGCAGCTTACAGGTGTAAGACGAGTGTAAGACGATGTAAGCGATTTCCCTGATGCTGATTGGTTAAAACATTTTCTACGGGTCAGCAGACGGGTGGTTAATAAAGTGGCGGGGGGGGGGGGGGGAAGGGGTGGTCTCACATGAATCTTACAGGTGTGTGTGTGTGTGTGTGTGTCAGTATGAATCTTAAAGGGGTGTGTGTGTGTGTCAGCATGCATCTTACAGGTGTGTGTGTGTCAGTATGAATCTTACAGGTGTGTGTGTCAGCATGAATCTTACAGGTGTGTGTGTGTGTCAGCATGAATCTTACAGGTGTGTGTGTCAACATGAATCTTACAGGTGTGTGTGGGGAGGGGGGGGGGGTAAACATGAGGGTTAGGAGAGGAAGTTTTATGGCAAATCATGGCATCAATTAACAATCAAATCAAGCTTGGTTACACTGTTTCAAACATCAAATCATCAAACAGAGCAGCAGTCAAACGACAAATCTCATTGCCACAAAACTCCACGGTCTGTTCGGGTTGTTATGGGTGGGAGAGTGCCAGGAATATACATACACCTTTAAGATCGAGAGATTTTTTAAATTTACACCTGAGTACCCCCCCCCCCCCCACCCCCACGTGACGCCCGTGCAGCCAATGACAGTCCACCCATTGAGCGCGGAGAGAAGCGCCACCTGTGCTGGCCTGACGACACGTCCTCCCAAAGTGCCAGCAAACGATCGCAGACGTGAAAGGGCGCTGTCAGGCGGGAAAAGAAAGCCGCCATTCACACGGCCGACGTCAGAGATATCAATGACACTCACCCCCCCCCCCCCGTCAACTTTCTACCTGTCAGGTGTACCACGTGACCTCAAAGGATTCACAGATGTATTTTTCTAGCGTACTGTTCTTCTGCTTTGTGTTGAGGGGTGGGCTGAGATCCGTGGGGTGGCCGGGTGGGGAACCATGGGTGGTATAAACTAATATGGTTGTTTGTTTTGATAAAATGAAAACTTTCCTCCCTTTAGCCAATCATATGGCTAGTTGTAGGCTTGTGTCTATTAAATATCAAGATATACCAATAAATTTAAATATTTAGAATAAAAGTTATTAAAGGAAAATATACTTCAAGCTTAATAAATCGCTATAAAAGAAAATATTTCACCTACCTAACTTCATAATTCCATTTTTTTTAAAAGGAGGGACAATCGAGTTAAAACTGCTAACGCATGAAGATAACACGGGTAGTATCCCTTAGTCCACAAATTAGACGGTGCCTTTAATAAGGGACATAATCGAATTAAAACTGTTACTATTTGAAGATTGCACTGGTAAAGTCCCTTAGTCGACTGGTCGGCTGGCTATCAGGGGAGACAATCGAGTTAAAACGGTAGGAGTAAAAGATTACATGGGTATGTTCCCCTTGTATATTCTCAGTCAATATCGACATTTACTAAGCCAACAATGTGTTTATGTTGACATTTATGACCTCCCACCCCACCCGGAAGACCCCAAATATGTAAACACTCAGAAAGTTTGTAAAGAACTCGCAGGGAATACAACCATGAACAGTTAAGGCAATGAAAGTTCACACAAATAATATTTACTCTAAACTTTGGGCATTTGAAATCCCCCCCCCCCACCCCCCAATTGAGAAATCATATATTTAGGTTTGAAAGAAATCATTCCTGCCTAAGACAATCATGACATAAAAGTATGAGTGGGTGACTAAGATTTGGTTTGAGTGTACGTATACTTGCTGCAATTGGAAGATTTAAGGAGCAGACTATTAAGACTTTTTCATAAGAAAAGGAAAAAAAATTGGAAGGATCGCTTCATTCTAGTAGATATCTTCGCCGAGCATTTAATATTATATGTATCGTTCAAAGTTATATATGATGAAAATTTAGGAAATTAAAATACAAGGGAAGCTACCGTGAATATTAAACAAAGTGAAAAATATATTCACAGTTTTCTCCCTTAATCTTAAAAAAAAAAATTTCTATAAATAATAATTGGTGAACCGGGTAGGGTATGCAATTGAGGCTTGTTGGTCAGTTACCGTGTATCGAATGGCCGAATAATTGAATTTACATTCTTTCTTAGTTAACTGAAAGCTGTTTTAACTGCTGTCATAGTTTACTATCAGCTGCTGTTATAGTTTACTTTCAGCTGTTGTTATAGTTTAGTATCAGCTGCTGTTATAGTTTACTATCAGCTGCTGTTATAGTTTAATATCAGCTGTTATAGTTTACTATCAGCTGCTGTTATAGTTTAATATCAGCTGTTATAGTTTACTATCAGCTGTTGTTATAGTTTACTATCAGCTGTTGTTATAGTTTAGTATCAGCTGCTGTTATAGTTTACTTTCAGCTGTTGTTATAGTTACTATCAGCTATTATAGTTTAGTCTGTATTAGTCTAGATCTAGCAGGTAACCTAACTAGGGCCTAACCTCACGCGGATCAGCCTAGTCAAGCCAGCGAAAGTTCAATGTTTAAAAAATAAATAAATCTAGCCGAGTCTAACCCAAGACAGTTTCTGTTTACAATTTATTGCTATACTAGCTTTAAAAAGAGTAAAGTAGTTTTCACACATAGTAATAAGTGAGTTGATAACAGTTTGTTACAATGATTTTTAAAAATCTTAATCTAGAAAGTAATATAAAATGGGAATTCCTATTTAAAAAACATTCCGTTGATCAATTCCCACCAATCAGCTGACAGTCACCAGTCAGCTGATTTTGTGCAAAAAGCGAATAAGGCCGTCAGCCGTCTGAAGTCTCGACAACTACAATCTTAATTTTGAGAAAATTCGGTTTCTAATTTTAGAAGACGCTAAATATCTTTAAATTGCTTATAAATAACTTAGCACATAATTTACATGATGTATTAAATTAAAATATTGCTGTTATTTTTGCTGTTAGCTATACATACACTTACATATTTTAAAATACATATTTATCTAAAAAATTATCTCCCATGTTCAGTTGTTGCTGGAAGCCTGCCAAGTAGGACCATAGTTGTTTATTTTAGCGTTCCCGCGTCTTGCCAAGGGAACTACTTATTGCCATTGAATTTGGATGTATCCGCGAAAACAAAAAGAGCGCCATGTTTTGTTTTTTTCTGCATCAATTAAGTGTATAAACATTACCAAATTTACTAATAAATTTTTACTATTATCAATGTTTTTGAGCCATCTAATATTTGTTTTTTTTAAACGTACCCATTTTAATTTAAACTAACGAAGAGCTATCGTGAATTGACCAACAGCTGTTTCCCGCCAATTATTACTCATTCTACTAGCAGCGTTACGTCGGGTTTGTTGTACATGACTGTCTTACAACTGTAAACAAGAATATCTGAACGGATTTTATTCTGAATTTTAATTGAACGATTCAAAAATGTCTGTGGATATTCGAAGCAGTGATAGAAGAAGATATGTCAACGAATTACAGGCCAGGGAGAAAGAAATTGCAGCTGGACTTCTCAAGTAAGTTGTAGAGAAAGTAGTACGCATGACTGTCACGCATAAACATTGTAGTACGAGCGCGTGGTTTCACAACCATTATCTTGTTTTTAATAAAACTTGTATTTTTTCACACTTATTCATAAAACAATTTATTAAAAACAATCTTCGATGTATCTTTTTTGTTGTAATCTACAAATTACAATTAACAGTAGCTTGTTCTTCACAATTTTGAGTGAAATGTTTTATTTTCCAACTGCCGGGTCATGCGTAGACCGGGTGAGGCTTGGTTTCAGACCAGATGACATTCAAACATAGTCTAGATCTAGCTCCATGGAAGGCTAGTCTAAATTTCACACTGATTCATATCTAGAATACGAATATTTTAGAGTTGTAGATTATAATTTAACTACGAGATAAATGCTAATAAATATAGATCTAGATCTAGAAGTATGTTGACAAACACAGGAACAAATTTAGCAGTAGAATCGAGACTCTAGATAGATCTAGATCTAAGTATTTTCAAGACTGATTTTGATTCTAGATCTATACAATAAACTAACATTTAGAAATATCTACTAATATCTAGATCTAATCTAGATTCTAGCAGGATTAAAAAAAAATTCTTATGAAATATACTAGATCTAGGCCCTATATCTATTAATTAATAATATTATTTATGCCATCTAGAATCAAAGAGTTGAGTAAAGCAATTTATTATTATAAATCTAAATGTGGGAGATTAATGATAATGTAACGATTGCGTAAAGTTGCTGTTGGTGGTGCTGGTAATGCATACATTGGAATTGTAGGTCTAGTGTCATTTTGGTTTAATCTGTTTTATTACATGTTGATATACCAATGCGACTTTTTAGGCCTTTTATCTTTTAGAAAAACAGAAAGATTTTGTGTTAGAAATCTATCAAATATTTATAGTTGCATAACTATATTTGTGTGTATGCTGTGTATTTCAGGACACCGAGTTGGTATTTTTTAATAAGAATATGATAAAAGTGAAAAATAAAAATATCTAGATCCACACCTTAGTCGGCCCTATCCTTAATTTCCAGTAACGTTTAGGTACTAGATCTATCCTTTTTTTTTCTTCAGTGGCGTCTAGCAGCATCAACAACAAAAAGTTTGGTTGATTTGTGTTTATCAATTAGTCAGACAACTGCGTCGATTTGTTTAGGATTTATTAACTCTAGTTTAGTCATACTTCCAATAGATGAATTAGATGTCTTTAATTAGTGCCTGTCCATCTGTCGCTCTTTCTCTTCATTCGGCGACTTAATAAGAAAATGTGTTGTTTACGTGTCTGGTACAGCGTATCTTTTTACTCATCGATTTCCCCCCAGCTATTGTAAAATTTGTTTTAAACGAAATCTATTTTCGGGGAAAGCTAGTGCGGTCCTAAATGGTAGGAATGTGCCCTCTATCGTCATGACCGCGTCACTCAGGTAGGCCTAAACCTTCCGCTCTCCCGACTCCGCCATTGATGGCCAGATGCCAACATTTATGCAGTCCCAAACCAGCCGTCTTGGCTGGGAGCCAGGTCCAAAACGTTTTGTTTCTCCCCACCCCCACCGGCGCGCCCGCCACTGTATTATCCTCCACCGAAAAGGTCGAATTCGGCAGAGCGCTAACCGATCGATTCCGTGGACTATTTTTTCCCCTCTATCACGCCGTCTTTTCTCCTGTCTGTGCCCCCCCCCCCCCCCCATCCGCGGTTTGCATCACGCTATCGGAATTTTCATGTAAGTCTCTTCTGGGTTTAGATGCCACGGTGCCTGTCTGTTGAACTCAATTGACCCGCCCGCCCTAGCCTCTTAGGAGATCAGCTGATATATTCTTCAAATAGATCTCTCTCTCTCTCTCTCTCTCTCTCTCTCTCTCTCTATATATATATATATATATATATATATATATATATATATATATATATATATATATATATATATATATATATTAAAATACATTTAAATATATATATATATATAGTTGTAGGTCTGTATTGTATAAGCGTGTTTGTTGTTCATGAAATACTATGAGAATGGACTAACCCCACCCCCACTGTCCCATCTGACCCTAACGTTAACCTGCTGTTCCCCCAGGGTGTCCCAGCCACCAGCCTCACCCAAAGCCCTCCAGGAGACAGAGAAACGCATGAGGCGTGAGATAGCCAACAGCAACGAGAGGCGGCGCATGCAGTGCATCAACGCCGGCTTCTCCAGTCTAAGGGCCCTCATCCCCCAACTCGAGGGCGAGAAGCTCAGCAAGGTAACTGGTCAACGTCTGTCTGTCTCAACATAATCACTTTATATCAGTTTTTATTGTCTGTAAGGTTAATTAAGCTTGGTTGTATCGGTATTTTTACAGTCAGTACATAAATGCGTTGGGTGTTTAAGTAGCCTATGTGGCTAGATGTAAGTACTGTCCCGTCCCCTCTACAACGAACTGAAATTGTTCATTGTGATGTGTCTTTGACCCTGCTTATATTCTACTGCACGTCCGGACATTACTAGGTTTGTTTGTTTTTTAGGTCACCTTCTCAGATAGGTCTTCTTCAGTTGGGGGGGGGGGGGGTTGAATGAATGAGAGGTTGTAGGTCGAGTTTTACTACCCCTCCCCGGTGAATGAAACTGGTCTATAACCTGTTGGCTGGTTGTGAATGAACGTCGTGGTTGATCACTGAAGCGTGACGTGCTCCGGTGTAACAATCCACTGGATGCCACCTGTAATCCAAATGCTGATTAGTGTGACGCCATGTTGTAATTGTTGCTAACGACTGGTTCTGTTCTATCGGTCACGTGGTTCCCGGCTCAGCTGCTGTTTTTTTTTATTGCTGTTGTTCGCCAGGTTTTCCCTAGGCACCCGTTAGTTCCGGTGAAAGGGGAGGGGGGGGGGTGTGAAGTTGTAAAGAAAAAAATGCTGTATTCATTCACCGGATAAAATTTCATTCAACTCTTATGTCGGCTCATGGAATTCTGGGATAGGCTTTACTTTCGACAGGTGATCTCTTTACGGGGTGTCTTCCTTTGCCCCCCTTCCCCTAAATGCCGAACAAGGCGCTCCCTTTTCATTTCGCATTTAAAAAAAAAATATTAAACTTGAGTTGAAGTATGTACTAGGAAGTGGCAGTATCTGTTACCATGGGGCGACATACAAGGCTGTTGTATGTTGTGTTAGACTCAGCTGAGTTGTGGTCCAACCTGATAGATGTATTGGTTGGGAGAAATGAACAATACATTGAAGTCAGGAGTTTAAAATATAACAAGTCATGGGTCATCAATGTGTTTTTTAAACCTGGAAGTAGATAGGATATGAGTCACTGGTTATGAGCAGAACTGGGTCAAAGCCGTCCACTGTACTGAATCACTCACGGCTGGTGGTTGTCTCGGCGTCGCCCCACTTTTGACCCCCCTCCACCCCTGTCAGCGCGCGTTCTGCTGGCCCGCTATTGTTTTCCCCTCAGCCAATGGGACGCGACCTTTCATGTGGCGCGATGTGGCCAGATTTGGCATCTAGTCAGTGGGAACTTACGCAATCTCCTGGGTCGATATAGTGGTGGTTTCTCCCCCCTGCAAGAATCCATTTAAAAAGGCATGGTGGGCATCTTAATGCGTTGCCTGAAGATTAATTAGTTTATTAATAATCGGGTGGGGTCCTTTACACGTATTTTTTTTTTTTACTTTATGTTTTGAAATTGAACAGCATGAGTTGTGTGCCGTCTAAAAACTGGCAATGGTTCGAAATGTCGAGATCATCCGTTGATAACGTATCATGTTCCATTGAGTGTGTCACCTCTGTGTCACCATATGAAAGATATCGTGGTGATCACAAGCTCTCGCGTGGCCTGATATTTCAAACCGTTTCCTTGTTGAAATATTTACTCCACGATGATAGTGTGGGATATTTATAGGTGTTGTTTGGTCATGTGTGGGCTATTTAAAGGTTTTTTGAATGAACTTTTGACTAAGTTGTTTTAATTACACATTGTCCTTGCACAACCTTGATTCATCATTGACTTTCTTTCTGGTCTATTTTTATCTTTATTTGATACCTTACTTGTGTACTTGATTCTTTGTTGGTGTCCCCTTGATACAATAGTTATGCCCCCTGATACATTAGTTCTGTCCCCTTCCAGGCTGCCATCCTCCAGCACACGACTGAGTACATCACAGCCCTGGAGAAGGATAAGACCAGACTTCAGATGCAGCTTGACCATTCCAAAATGTTGCTGGCTGAGCTCGGCCAGGACAGAGTGGTCACTGATACGTATGTGTCCAGCTCACCACCTCCGACCAAACGCAAAAAACGAGATACAGGTATGCAACTTCCTACATTAAGCTGTGCGTTAAAGAAATGTTCAACATCACCTAATGTAACATAACATCACATACAATGTACTAACAGTAAAATGTTTGTCCCTACAGAATCATCAGACGAGGGGGTTGGATCTCTGTCTGATGCCTCGGACGAGGGCAGCTCTGAACTCCAACATGAGAACGTAACACTGCGGAAACAGCTGGAGTCCCACATTCAGAAATGTGCCGCACTAGAGGACCGCAATCGGCTGCTTGAAGCTCAGCTCCTCTCACTGCTACAGGTGCAGGCTGCTCACACTGGCCAGATAAGTGTAAGTGTGACCACCTTGCTAGTTACATTTTAGTTTATTTGTATTGTTCTTGGGGAAGTCCAGCACTTGGGGCAACTGTTACTGATTATTTTTTAAATGACTTTTCAGGAGCTGCACCCAGTGAACCTTGACACCAGGCAGATACAGCAGGAGACACTGTACAACCGCGAAGTTGTCGAGGTCATCGCTTCTAGAGATTCCTACGTCCCCATGCCAAGGGTGGACAATTTCCAACCAGTGCGGCCCCAGTCCCCTACCCCTGAGCGGGGGATGAGCATGGATATGTCCAGCAGGATGGACACGACTTCCCCTGGGTTCGCTATGGGCTCCAACCCCACACTGGCGTCCTCTGTGAAGGAAGAGTCTTCACCCCCCGTGGTGAAGCAGGACTTGTGTTTATCTGAGACCAATGGACAGGGAACAACTTCACCCCTCGTCCCTGCCGCTGACCAATCTAGCTATCACCATCATCACAACTACTGCCACAGAGACCACCCGCGTCGTCGCCATCGGCAGCAGGCGCTGGAGCAGCAGAGAGAGGAGGAGGAGCTGCGGCGCCAGCAGATGGAGCAGCAGGCCACCTGCACGGTCAGCGCACCCTACCGGCCAAAGCACAACACCCAAAACCTGGAGAACTTGGTCGAGGCCATCCGCCAGATTGAGGGTGACCGTGTCTTGTGTGACGACCGCAAGTTCTACGAGGAGGAACACAAACTATACAAGAGGCAGTCCCTGACGGACGAGAGCGAGCGGGAGACCAGCAGCATCAGTGACCAGGACGAGATGAAGTCCGAATGTTCCGGCCGTGACTCCCCCTCCCAGCTGCACCACCCAGTCCAGCACCATTTTCTGGTGTCACATCAGCAGATGGTGGCCCCGCCCACCAGCCCAGAGAACAATAGCATGGGAGACATTAGCAACCACAGCAGTTTTTCTGAGAAGTATCCTATAGCCAGCCATCTCCTACACCGACCCTTGCATCCATCCTTCTACAGGCCGGGTGTCATTGTACACAAGCAGTGACCGGTCAGTTGATTCTTGTAAGACAGACTTTTGGATTTTAAAAAGAAAAATGTGACCAGCATTGTGCCTGTTATTTGAATAATTCATCACAATGTGGAGTCCGTGATTGGGGAGGGGGGGGGGGGGATCCTGTTTAGAAGGATAAAACATTTCTTGTTCTGGCTTATCGGAAGACTAAACAGTACAAATTCATCAAAATGGATACTTATAAAAGCATATAGCAGCGTCTGAACCAGTCATCTGTCCCTCACCTAAGTTTTGTAGTTCCGAATTATTGTGTAATATATATATAATTTCAATGGAAAAGATTTCTTGATCCTTTCGTGTAAAAATGTTTGAAAAGAAAAATGTAAAATTTTGCTAATGTACATCTAATTTTCAAATGGTTGCATAAAATGCTAATTTCAGATTCTAAAATTATTCTGTAAAATTCTTCATCTGTAGGCACTATAGTATTTGCCTGAAAATTTTATTTAGATTTCTCAACCTTATGGCTAAAATCGAAATCATATTTTGTGCTTTAATTAATTTGTCAGAGTTTTTCTTTACAATATCAGGATGCCGTAGCTTTATTTTTGGTCCTTCTCATAACATATTCATACAAGATCATCTATACATATAGTCAGTAATTTATTTCTCACAGCTCATATGTAAATTAATCTCATCCCCATTGCTAGCCTGTGCGTGGGCTCAGCGCTATCTATTTATTGCTATACACAACAAATCTATTTTTATACTATAACATGAACAGTGGATGTACATACTTCTTGTTGTGGTTATGTTTATTTATTCATGTTGAATTACGCTTTTTTTTTTTTGTTACTTGGTGAAATAGCTTGGCCAAATAAAATAGGGAGCCTCAGGTCGGGGGGGGGGGGGGGGTCAGCGACCGTAGAGGAATATATATGAACAGTATTTAATTACAGAAGGGGGGGTGCTGTTTTTTTTTTTAAAATAAATTTTCGTCTTACCAAAACATGAGTCAGGTATACATTAATGATTATAAATAAAGGCTGGCATTTAGAAACATTTTCTGTGGGGGTGAGTGAATGTTGGATGTTTGATTGATGTAATCTTTTGGCAATGCACACGACAATGCAATTTGTGGCACATTTCCTGGTTGGAAGATAGAATCTTATAAGGCCAGTGGATGTGTGTATCATGTTAGACTTGCTAGACGTTGGCTGTTTAAAGAATATTTGCTAGTCATGTCATTAGGTGACCTGGGTGGACGTGTCATTAGGTGACCTGGGTGGACATGTCATTTGGTGACCTGGGTGGATGTGTCATTTGGTGACCTGAGTAGACGTGTCATTAGGTGACCTGGGTGGATGTGTCATTAGGTGACCTGGGTAGATGTGTCATTTGGTGACCTGGGTGGACATGTCATTCACCTAGGTAGATGTCAGTAGCCCAGTAGTATGAAGTGACCAACTGTCAAGGTTATGTTTGCTGTTGGCCTAGTTTTCTGCAAGATGTTATGATGTGGTTAGCAAACAAGCTGTTGGAAGCTTAAGTGTATGCTGTTTGGAAGCTTTAGTGTATGCTGTTATTTTTGTTGCATGAATGCTGCACTTTTGTCCAATATAAACAAGATTGGGGCAGGGGTGGGTGGGTGGATCATTACGTAACCCAGAAATATATAGCTTGTATTAAGATTAGACATTGGCCAGTGTTGTAGATGTAGTATCACACACGACTAGTGTAAGTTTAGCGTTGTTGTTGACTTAAATATGTTGGTAATAAAAATCTGAAATTTCAAATAATCTGTAGCTTTATTTTTAAGCAGTCACTAGATTAAGGGCATTTAGTTCTGAAAATGTAGTTATGTAATTAATAAATTTGTTTCACAAAAGCTGGATACAATATTTAATTTTACTTAAAGTTTTAAAATATTCTCCACTTGGTCTGTGCCGCTGTGCAAAATATTTTGATTACAATTTCAACCTAGTGGTCAACCTCAGTCTAGTGTCCAGTCTTGTTGTCCATTGTTGTTGTCTGGCTGTCCACTCTTGTAGTTCCAATAACTTTGACAGTGACTTTCTAATGTAAACTGACAAATGTATTTTTCCAAACACTTCAATGACACTAAGATTGTAGAACTAGGTTGTGTTTCCTGACTATTTTGTTGTACATCACTTAACTGTGTTGTTGTCCTTTACTAGGTTGTGTTGTTGTCCTTCACTAGGTTGTGTTGTTGTCCTTCACTAGGTTGTGTTGTTGTCCTTCACCAGGTTGTGTTGTGATCAAGATACTTTGTATGCAGCCATGGAACAGCAGGGGATGGTTGTAGTTGTTCTTGTTCAATTAGTTGGCTTTTGATGACATTTGAAAGTCATAAACTTTTTAATAAGCTGAGAATAAATTGTTCACTCTGATTATGATATTTCGTCCTTGTTTTTTATTTGGTTTTTGTTTGATAAAATATCTGAACATGTTCAAGTAATGACGATCTGGTAAATACAAGCTATAAATTAAAACAGGTTTCTGTGTTGAACTGTTTTCACACCAAGATGGTTTACTTGGACTATAGCCACACACAAGATTAACATTAACAACAATTAAAAAATGTATCTGAAGCTACAAGCATTTATTTCTACTCTCAGGTCGAGGGAAAATAATCGAGATACTGGGTCACATAAATAAAGCCATTTTCTTTTTCCATTTCGGCTGCTAAAATCAATAGCTGATACGTTTTTTAAAAATGACCATTTGTTTTAACATCCCTTTAAATTTATAATTACCGAAAGGAAACAAGCATTGTACTACTTATTACTGACCACAGTAAATAAGGTCTCAAGACTAACAGAACCCTGTAACAGAATCAACATTCACCAAGAAATGATGCAAGACACTATTTTCTCCTTTTTTTCCTCTATCGGTTAGCGAGGTCAAACCGAGGTCACTGTAATATAATTATTTCCTCCAATGAGAACTCAGGATGACGTAGGGGGAGAAAAATTAGTAAACAATCACATGATGTGTCGTCACGCGTGTAGTGTGACGTGTACCCAAATAACCGTATGAGATTACACTGTAATTACATATCTTGATCCATCTTGTTGTGGTCCTGCGGCATATTACCCCGTGACTTGTGACACTGTTTGGACTTCCGTTAAAAGCGGAAAAAATTCCATTTTATCATTGCGACTTATGTGTCACTGAATCATAGTCATACATCCACAAATACCCCCCACCCACCAAAAAAATAAATAAATACCCGTTAAAAATGAAAGTGCTTTAATTTTTTCCCTGAATGTTTTTTACCCTATGCCCCGTCCCGCTTACAATCTTTAGGTGAGGAACACATTAGAAAACGTATTTCCTTTCATGACCAATGTAAACAAAGTGAATTGGGTTTCTGGTGGTGTGGCGATCTGTGACGTTGAACAACACGGCAGACGTGTCGGCCTGGACACAATTTTAGACTGCTGGGAAGTGACCGGTCGCAGCGAGGGGCTGACACCACGTGATGTTTACAAGCATCGTCTGGACACGGCGAGGCAGGCTGTGTTTGAGAGGAAATAGAATCTGGGGGGTTGGAACGTTTGATTGAAACTCGTCGAGAAAAAAAAAGTAAAATGATCGAAAACACAAGAAAACAGAAAAATAGGTAATCATGTCTGTTGGCTTAGGCTTATCAAATTGAGTGTAAATGTAGCCGGTTAAATAAAAAGGTGGCTAGATGGTTAAGGTCCCCTCTAGGGTTCTTGTTGATCTCTGTGGATGATAGACATCTAGATCTAGTAGTAGGTACTTTCTGTACAGTTACTGGGTGGGGTGACTTGTGTAGGTAGGGTAACGTATGACTTGTGTGGGTAGGGTAACGTGTGACTTGTGTAGGGTAACGTGTGACTTGTGTAGGTAGGGTAACGTATGACTTGTGTGGGTGGGGTAACGTGTGACTTGTGTAGGTAGGGCAACGTATGACTAGTGTGGGTAGGGTAACGTATGACTTGTGTGGGTAGGTTAATGTATGACTTGTGTGGGTAGGGTAACGTGTGACTTGTGTAGGGTAACGTGTGACTTGTGTAGGTAGGGTAACGTATGACTTGTGTGGGTGGGGTAACGTGTGACTTGTGTAGGTAGGGCAACGTATGACTAGTGTGGGTAGGGTAACGTATGACTTGTGTGGGTAGGTTAATGTATGACTTGTGTAGGGTAACGTATGACTTGTGTAGGTAGGGCAACGTATGACTTGTGTAGGTAGGGTAACGTATGACTTGTGTGGGTAGGGTAATGTATGACTTGTGTAGGGTAACGTATTACTTGTGTGGGTAGGGTAACGTATGACTTGTGTGGGTAGGTTAATGTATGACTTGTGTAGGGTAACGTATGACTTGTGTAAGTAGGGCAACGTATGACGTGTGGGTAGGGTAACGTATGACTTGTGTAGGTAGGGCAACGTATGACTAGTGTGGGTAGGGTAACGTATGACTTGTGTAGGTAGGGCAACGTATGACTAGTGTGGGTAGGGTAACGTGTTACTTGTGTGGGTAGGGCAACGTATGACTTGTGTGGGTAGGGTAACGTATGACTTGTGTAGGTAGGGCAACGTATGACTAGTGTGGGTAGGGTAACGTGTTACTTGTGTGGGTAGGGTAACGTATGACTTGTCACAAGATTAGTCTGCCCTTGTCGATTTTAAACAAAATTTTCATCTCATAGCTTAAGCGGGCATTAAACTCACCTCCCCCTCCCCAATAATTAAAAAAAAAAGAACTTACAGTGCACTGCGCTATAAAAAGTTATGTAAGAAAATGATGGATTACTTGATGCATTTTCTTTCTTACATTACATGACGGGGGGGGGGGGGGGGGGGGGGGGCGCTGATGGCAGTTAACTGTCAATCATCCTAATCCTGCTCTGGACAGATGTGTTACCGACGTGGACGTTTTGTTCCCACGACCAGGCCCACATTACTGGGGTATTAGTCACAAGTTGACTGGCCTCACACAACAACAATGGCGGTTAGTCACAGCACAGGTGTCTAAATTAGTCAAAACACAAAACAGTTTCGGCCGTACGTATTTTAGCAGACCCTCTCAGGGGTTCCTAAGTTATTCAGTTTGGAGGTCTGATTTTACTATCTCTCGTTGAATTAGTCGTTGTTTTCCTATTTAGCCTCATTTACAATTAGCAATTTAGCTTTAAGCCGTTTTGGCGTCGACTAAAAAGTTAACTGAAAATATTCAATCCAATAAATGAAATTCTACATTCTATCTGGTATGTGTCTATCTCAGTAAATATATTGTCAAATTTTAATAAGTTCCGTTTCTTTCTCTTTTGCGGATTTTGTTAGTAATACTAAATCCAACAAGCTCTATATAATCAAAATGTGAGAACCGCTAAATGAAAACGGTACATAAACCTAGTTGGTGTATTTTTATTGAGTCGTAGCTTCCTGGGAATATCAATGAAATATGTTAATTAATGGATCGACTTGTCCATAATACTGTCAGCTCAAGGGCGTTAACTCTCACATGCAAGACGGTCTGCTGTACTACTTGCATTGAGAAATTTTAATGTTTTTAATTTTTATTAAAGTATATTTTAAACCCACCCCCCCCCCCCCCCCCCACCGTCTGAATGAATACAAAACAATGTAAATTATGGACTCGTTAGCTATGTTAGTGTTTAGTATAAACAAGGTGTGTGCTTTGAAACAACAACACAAGGCGCGGATTCAACAATGCAATGTTTATGGTCTTCTAACCACGCTATTATTACCAGCCAATGGAAAGCGGGCACATGTTGTGACTTGCGCCAACACAAGACTGCGGTGACTGCGACAGATAAACGGAAATTCCTGGAATGGTTTCCTGTGGAACTCTTTTCCAGGAATTGGCACACTGCTGTACACAATATTTATCTTTAAAATTACTTTGTTTCATTTTATTTTTAATTTAAAAATATAATCTTTATCAAAATAGAAAGATTTTTGGTCACATGTAGTAAGTTTCTCTCCCCTCCCCCGATGTCCGTCAAATCAGGTCCAGTGGACGACGCAGTTTTTTCATGTCTTACTAAAACAAAGCTTTCACATTCATGAGTGGGATGTCCCCCCCCCCCCCCTACCACACACATACACATACAGGGGTCATCTGTCCAACTATAACAAAATAAAACTTGAGTTACGAGTGGGGGGTCAAGATTACTTTAGGCCACTTGATGTTCACAATGACAGCCAGCACATCAGATCTTATTCGTCGCTTTTTAATTGCTTGAATGTCAAACAATGCCATTTTTTATCATGCGGGCAAATCGTCGGCCTAAAGTTGCCCCCCAATGGTCGGCCTAAAGTTGCCTCTGCCTCCCAATCGTCGGCCTAAAGTTGCCTCTGCCTCCCAATCGTCGGCCTAAAGTTGTCCCCCAATCGTCGGCCTAAAGTTGCCCCCCAATCGTCGGCCTAAAGTTGCCTCCCAATCGTCGGCCTAAAGTTGTCCCCCAATCGTCGGCCTAAAGTTGTCCCCCAATCGTCGGCCTAAAGTTGCCCCCCAATCGTCGGCCTAAAGTTGCCTCTGCCTCCCAATCGTCGGCCTAAAGTTGTCCCCCAATCGTCGGCCTAAAGTTGCCCCCCAATCGTCGGCCTAAAGTTGCCTCCCAATCGTCGGCCTAAAGTTGTCCCCCAATCGTCGGCCTAAAGTTGCCCCCCAATCGTCGGCCTAAAGTTGCCTCTGCCTCCCAATCGTCGGCCTAAAGTTGCCTCCCAAACGTCGGCCTAAAGTTGTCCCCCAATCGTCGGCCTAAAGTTGCCCCCCAATCGTCGGCCTAAAGTTGTCCCCCAATCGTCGGCCTAAAGTTGCCCCCCCAATCGTCGGCCTAAAGTTGCCTCTGCCTCCCAATCGTCGGCCTAAAGTTGCCTCTGCCTCCCAATCGTCGGCCTAAAGTTGCCTCCCAAACGTCGGCCTAAAGTTGTCCCCCAATCGTCGGCCTAAAGTTGCCCCCCAATCGTCGGCCTAAAGTTGTCCCCCAATCGTCGGCCTAAAGTTGCCCCCCAATCGTCGGCCTAAAGTTGCCTCTGCCTCCCAATCGTCGGCCTAAAGTTGTCCCCCAATCGTCGGCCTAAAGTTGCCCCCCAATCGTCGGCCTAAAGTTGCCTCCCAATCGTCGGCCTAAAGTTGTCCCCCAATCGTCGGCCTAAAGTTGTCCCCCAATCGTCGGCCTAAAGTTGCCCCCCAATCGTCGGCCTAAAGTTGCCTCTGCCTCCCAATCGTCGGCCTAAAGTTGCCTCCCAAACGTCGGCCTAAAGTTGTCCCCCAATCGTCGGCCTAAAGTTGCCCCCCAATCGTCGGCCTAAAGTTGTCCCCCAATCGTCGGCCTAAAGTTGTCCCCCAATCGTCGGCCTAAAGTTGCCCCCCAATCGTCGGCCTAAAGTTGCC